TGCCCATTCAGATTTTCGCTTCATGAATATTCTTTGGAATTTCAATGTTGTCAATCGTTGCTACAAAGGACCTGTAACTTGGTGACAATTTTCCATAGGAGACAAATCTCTCAATAGGGTGATGAGTGCAAACTCTCACCCCTTTTCTTATTGCAATAGGAATATCACTAATTGTTACATTTATACCAACATGTTCAGGGTTAGGGATCATATTACCTGTGGGAACTTCATTTTCAAGAGCCTGCTTGGACTCATGGTTTTGCATTGGAGTTGTGTTTGACTCTACTTCCTTCCTTCTCCTTTCATAAGTCTTGTTCTTCCAAATACCCTCTTGTGCTTTTCGTCCTTGGTTCTGCTGAGATGTAGTTGAAATATTAATCATCTCTGATTCAGTTTCGGTGGTCCTTTCAACTGGGCTCGATACTGGTTCGGCTAGTTGAGTATCAATGGTTTGGTTTGGTAACATTTGTGCAGCTTCGGTGGTCCTTCCAACTGCGCTGGCTACTGGTTCGACTAGTTGAGTATCAATGGTTTAGTTTGGTAACATTTGTGCAGCTCCAGGTTGAGTATTTGGGGTCTAGTCTGGTACTATTTGTGTGGGTTCGGTTTCCTCAAGTGCCAAAAGTTGGTATTCTGAACTTTTAGTTGGATATAAGTGTGATTGCTCCCCCTGAATGCCAACTTTGGTGTAATAGGGTTGATTTTCAAAGAAAGTGATATCCATAGTATGGTAGAATTTTTTTGTTTGGAGAGAGTAACATCTATAACCTTTTTGGTAAGGAGAATAGCCAAGAAAGATGCACTTGATGGATTTTGAATCTAGTTTACTACGGTGAGGAGATTGTGGACAAAAACTGAACATCCAAATATTTTTAGTGGAACGGAAGAAAAGATCTTGCTGGTTGGGAAGAAGGTTTGAAGTGTGGAAATAGGGGTTTTAAAGTCAAGGATACGAGAAGGCATTCTGTTTATGAGATGTGTTGCCGAAAGGACAGCTTCTCCACAAAATTGTTTTGGAACATTACTGGCTAGCATGATTGAACTAGTTACTTCTAAGAGGTGTCTATTCTTCCTTTCCGCAACTCCATTTTGTTGGGGGGTGTCCACACACGAGCTTTGGTGAACAATTTCAACCTTTTGGAGATAGGAATTTAAGAAAAGGTTATAGTACTCACGACCATTGTCAGTTCTGAGTACTTGAATCTTGCTTTGAAATTGTGTTTGTACCATGCTATGAAAAATTTCAAATATTCTCCCTACTTTTGATTTTTCCTTCATCAGAAACACCCAAGTGACGTGTGTGGTCATCGATAAAGGTGACAAACCACCTCGAGCCAGTAATGTTGTGAACTCGAGATGGTCCCCATATATCACTATGAATTAATGAAAAGGGTTTTGATGGTTTGTAGGGTTGGAGCAGGTAATGGTTGCGGGTATGTTTAGACAATTGGCAAATTTCGCACTGAAATTGCTTTTGATTTTTATTAAATAATGAGAGAAAAATCTTTTCCAAGTATCTGAAACTTGGGTGGCCTAATCTATAGTGCCACAACATTATAGAATTCTCACTATTTTGAACCATTGCTGCCACATAAGAGAACTCCTTGGATTTTTCTTCTGTTTTTTTTCCAACTTGTAGGAGGTAAAGTCCTGCATACTCTTCAGCATTGTCAATCGTCTTCCCCGACTCCAAAATTTGAAACTCACACGAATTAGAGAAGAATTTAGCAACACATTTCAAATCTCGGGTAATCTTACTAATGGACAACAAGTTACAATCGAGTTTTGGCACATATAGAACCAAGTCAAGAGTAATATTTTGAGAAATAATAATTGATCCATTACCCATGACCTTAGAATGAGTCCCATCAGCTATCTGAACAATATAGTTATAGGGACAAGGAGAATAACTACTAAACAACGTAAAATCATCCGTCATGTGATCTGAAGCTCCTGAGTCAATGATCCATGTCTTTGTTTCTTCTTTTCTAGTGTTCAGAGCATATAGATAATTACCTTTTTGGGCAACATTAGTAGTACCAACTTTTTCTATAGATAGCATAGTCTGCTGAAGGAGTTTTTCAATTTCCTCCATTTGTTCTTGGCTGAATGGAGATGAGTTAGAATTTACCTCGACTTCTCGATGGTTAAAGGTTGTGTTACCTTTTTCTTCCTTCCTTTTGAACTGATTTGCTTCCAAAGGTTTTCCATATATGATCCAACATGTTTCCTTGGTGTGGCGGGGCCTCTTGCAATGATCACACAAGGGACGGGATTTTCCGTCGTGTGAGCTGGTTGGAAAAGATCCAGTCTCCATCTTGAGTGATGTGTTAATTTTTGAGTCGTCCATGGTTTGACGGCGCTAATTTAAAGATGGTCCAGATTGTGCTCTGATACCATGTAGAAATATGTTTGTATATTTCATATCTGGTTGATAATACATAAGATGCATATATAGTACATAAGGTTAAGAGGGATGAGCTAAATTAGCCTAGAAATTAAGAGAATAATTATTCCTATAAATGCTAAGATTAAATGTGATAAAAACAAAACAGACAGCTAATTAATTTACATAAAACTACAGTTATGATATATACAAAATAGAATCTGCACAACAAATTCTTTGCTAATCTTCAACACATACCTACTAATATTTATGAGGCATTGTCTGATGAAAAATGGAAACAAGCCATGAATATCAAGATGGACGCATTGAAGAAGAATGGAACTTAGGAGTTGGTGACTTTACCAGAAGGAAAGAGGTCAGTTGGATGCAAATGGGTGTACACAGTAAAATATAAGGCTGATGGATCAATCGAAATATATAAAGCCAGGTTGGTTGTCAAAGGGTTTACACAAACCTATGTAATTGACTATTCAGAGACATTTGTTATGGTTGCAAAGATGAATACAGTGAGAGTAATTTTGTAACTTAAAGAGGAGATTTATATGCAGGTACCACCGAGGTATGAAAAAAATGTGTCAAACAATATAGTATGCAGGTTGAAAAAGGCGCTATATGGATTAAAACAATCACCTCGAGCATGGTTTGGAAGATTCACTAAGATTATGACATCTTTAGGGTACAAGCAAAGTCAAGGGGATCACACCTTGTTCATCAAACACTCGCCCTAAGGGGGAGTAACAATTTTGTTGGTATATGTGGATGACATTATAATGACTGGAGACGATTGGAAGGAGCAACAAATCTTGAGTCATTGTTTGGCTAAGGAGTTTGAAATAAAAACTCTTGGAAAACTGAAGTACTTCTTGGAAATCAAGGTGGCACATTCACGAAAAGGCATTTTTATATCTCAACAAAAGTACATTACAGATTTACTCAAAGATACGGGAAAAACAACGTGTAAACCTGCGAGCGTTCCTATGAATCCAAATCTTAAATTGGGTAATACATAAGAAGATGTTGCAGTTGATAAAGAAATGTATCAACGTCTAGTTAGGAGATTAATTTACTTGTCTCACACTAAACCTGATATTACATATGTTGTAAGTATGGTTAGTCAGTTCATGCATTGTCCTAAAGAAAGTCATTTACAAGCAGTTCATAGAATCCACAGTATCTCAAGGGAACTCCAGAAAGAGGAACTTTGTTCAAAAGAAATAGAAACACAACCCTTGAGGCCTACACTGGTGCAGATTATGCAGTTGTTGATAGAAGATCCACTACAGGGTACTACACCTTTCTTGGAGGAAATCTTGTGACTTGGAGGAGTAAGAAGCAAAATGTAGTAGCCCGTTCTAGTGCTGAAGTTGAATTTCGAGTCATGGCACAAGGCATTTGTGAATTACTTTGGCTCCAAATTATTTTAGAAGATTTGAAAATCAAATAGGAAGAGCCCGTGAAGCTCTATTGTGATAATAAGTCAGCAATTAGTATAGCACATAATCCAGTTCAACATGATCGAAATAAGCATATTGAGGTTGATAGGCACTTCATTAAGGAGAAGCTTGATAGTGGACTGATTTGCAATTTGCGGATATTCTCACTAAAAGATTGAGTAACTCAAATTTTGAACGAATTGTATGGAATGGAGAATACTTATTCACCAACTTGAAGACTGTTGGAAATAGAAAAAATACATTGTATGTTTCCCACTAAAATGAGCATTTAAGTCTTTGGTTCATGTATATTTAGATTCATGCATTTAGGGAGTTGGACTATTATTTATTTCTCCTTGTATACATAATATATAATTAATTATATAGTGTATAAATAACATGGTTGCTGAGTGCTTTACTCACTCAAGCACATTCAGAAAATTTCTTATTCCTATTTTTCACAGATATTTTAGGTCTTCTGCCTTTAGTTGTTTGAGTCATCGTCATCTGATCTACAGGTATTCTCTCTACATGCTCAATCCACTTAAACCTAGTTTTCTCACACATCTAACGCAACATCCTCATCTCTACAAATGAATATTAAAAAGAAGAAAAAAAATGCAAATGACCTCCCAAACACAAACTATGCAAATGCATCAATAAGTAGGGCTAATCAAATAGAGGATATTTAAATAGTTATAGCAATAAAAGCAGACCAAAGAAAACTATATACCAAATTATTGAGATTTAGAGGTAAATGATACATCTTTAAACTTAATTCAAGACAGTTTTATGACATCATTTAATCCATGTAGCCAACCGCCTAATAGGAAAAGATTTGGTTTATATGCTAAAACATGTTCTAACAGGACCACCAGCGTGTCACACTTCTGCTAATCTTATAACAGTTTATTTGATGCAGTGTTCGTTATTTGTGTTTAACAAATAAAAGGCGTAGGAGTGTCATTTCACCTTTTAAAACCCCAATACCTAATACACACACAACCAAAATTAAAGGGTGAAAGAAGAAGATTGCAAAACATGTAAACATTAATATATTTCATCCAAACACCAGTCCACTAAGAAAGAACAGAATACATTGGTAGTGCAACTATAAACAAAAAAAAAATGCAAGAGGGAAGACCGGAATAACATTATACCAAAGCAGTTTTGGAGAGCGGGAATCAGCAGACTTGTTATCATCACTTGCTGCTTTTCGCGGAAGAGGAGCAAATCCGCCAAAGAAACCCCAGAATTCCCCAGTTTCAGAATCAGCCATTAACTTTCCATCCTCTGCTTGGAAGTTCAAGAAGACATTCAAATCATAAAAATCAGTAATCACCTTTCGAACTTCAAAATTACTCGTAGACTTACCAATGGCAGCTATCTCGCACTTTCCCTCGTGGTAGGTATCTTTAATATACTGTACAACTTCCAAAGCTTTAGCCCTTTCTTGAATAGATGAATTGGAACCATTAAATTGGAAGATTTTTGACTCAGTGTCGAGAACAAAAATATCGTCATGGTTGAGTGAAGATCGAGCAAAAGGAACCTATAACATAAAAAAGTGGCTACTCAGCAAGCAGAAAATTATGTTTCTGTATGTGTTTACCAGCCTGATCCAATGTGATCAATGACATACAATACTCAAACCTCAAAGGCAGACGAAAAAATGTCAAACTTGCCTCTTTGACATGCACAACATGTTTCCCTCTGCATACAAACAACCGTGTCTTATGTTTTTCAGCCTCAGCATGTTTAAAACCAGAAGCAACTCCACCTTCTAGAGGTATAATACACGGTTTGAAATAAGACAGGAACTTTTCAGTTTCATGGCCCTGTACTTCCCGATACTGAACAGCACGTCCTCCAAGAGCTGCATCCAGCTCAACAGTCTTGATGGCTGCAACACCAGCTTCATCCTATTTTAAAATTACAATCATTATGAGTAATGTCAAACCTAATCAGGGGGAAAATAAATTTTATAAAAACTAAGAAATATATCACCTAGGTTATGTTTAAAATATTAATCTTTACCTGACTAGTGTCTTTACCAATCCAGTAATGGATGTCATGACGCAGAGCTCCACTTTTTGATGCGGTTGTCTACGCAAGAAAATAAAATGAAAAGGATTGGAAATAAAATGTATTCATACTAGAAAAAACCAGGGATCATGCATCATGCAGTATGCACAAGCAGCATAATAAAAAAAAGCTACCGGGTTAGTAGTTATTGCCAGAAGTCAAAAGGAAGCCAGAAAATAATGTGAATCTTGCCAAAATAAGTGCTACTTATGAATATATGAGACTTGTTTCAAACACCTCATAAACTATCTTTATATGCAAGGGGAATCAAAGCTCATGGGAAAGAAGCCGATAATGTTATATGAATAAATTCATGCTCACATTTTTAACCTATTCTTTTAACCTCAAGACACATTTTTGTACCAAAACTGGTAAATGTATAGAGATTTCATAATGAATGTTTCCTTAGAAAAATGAACAGAACTAAGAAGAAGATAATGTCCTATAGGTAAACTTGTGTTCATATATGACCAAGAGAGGATAGTATGTTTGGTAAATACAGTTCATCATCAATTCAAACCAAGGATGCACTCTGTAACAAACTGAAAAATGTACAGAAGTTACATAATGAATGTTTGCCAAAGAAAAATGAAGACGTGAAATCAATTTCACGAGTCATTACATACCAATGTTGTGATTTTATCATTCTGAGAACATCAAATGTTTCAAAGTTACGAAGTCCATGCAAAACAATTATAAACAGAAAATAAAGCTTCGTGAAAAAGCAGATATCAATTTGAAGCTAGCATTGTACGAAACTACAACTGAATAACCACTCGGAAAATATGGCTTACCTTTAAGATCACATAGGAATCCCCAGTAAAAAATTTGCCATAAGAAGACTTTGGGATAGATTTTGGATTAAAATTCTCAATACGCCATATTTCAAGCCCACTATTTACAGTTAAGGAGAATAATGCATAAGATCAAAGCATGAAATTAATTTACACATTGAACAGAACCAGGTGAAGGAGAAACTTAGAAAAAAATCTGGTAAATATAGAAAATCTTATAAATAGTAAACTGTATAATATGTTAATTAGATGAGGATACGCCTTTTGTCCAGCTCCCTGAAAAGCTGGATCCACATCTCTCATGGAAACTGCCATAATATTAGTCTACTAGTTGGTCCTTCACACCCTAGCTTATATGTAGCAAATAATATCCTGAAAGGGAACCATAAATAATATAATGAACTGAAAGAAAGCAATGTCAAAGTTTACTGAAACTGCCAAAATAGAGAGTCAAATGCAAATGCTTCCACCAACATTTTCAATCAACAAATTCTGATTCAGAAGTAACTTTAATTAAAAACAGAGAAGACAATATCAGATAGCATAGATTAAACATAAGGTTGGCATCATTAATCAATCATTAGTTAAATTTTTCTGACAAACGTAATGTAAAATACAAAATGAAGTAGAGAAAAGCAAAGCTGTCATTAGGCTACAAAAAATGAGTTTGTGTTCCTTGAGATACAGTAAAGTTCACTAATAACTGAAAACATTCCCAGTAATGTTCATAGATGCTTTTATAACCTTTACTATTTCCCCCCTAAAGATATACCCTCATGTAGTATTAGGAATTCAAATACATTAAGAACTCAATTACCTATATTGATGTTCCTAAAGTTAAGGCAAATGTATCAATAGTTGCAACCGAGAACAGGAATGCATTTCTAAGCATGTCATTATCAGCTACTACAGACTCACTGATTGCTGTCCAAAAACAGAATACACAAATAGCTTGCATTTCGAGTAAGCAATCATGACGCAAACCATGTCATTGACGTTGGTTGGATTAAAACAAAACATGAACATTTGTCAACATGTCAGTTCAGCATACCTGCTAACGGTTAAATATTTTTGGTAGTCACCACTATATGATACTAGTACATGAAGAAAGCAAGCTAACACAAACACACACACTTGCATTCACATCCAACAAAGGCTTTTCACTGCCTTGTGCAGAATGTCACTTATGCAAGTAGAGCTGCTATTAGAAAAGAAGCCTGATACCAGTAGTTATACTACTCTAGAAAATAGGCGTGATTGGGTGGATCATCTTAAAGCACTTACTCGCTTAGCTATTATAGGGATTAGGAAGCTTAACTAATCACTTATCCATAGGTTTCCCTCCACACGGAAGGCAATCCAATTTAAGGTGTGTCGGGTACTAAATTAGATCTTTCAACCGGTATTCGAACATCAGTGTTCCGCGTTGTGGGAGTCTAGCCCCTTGCGCTAGACGCGAAGGGCTGTTAGTCACTTAGTCATAAGTTATCATAAGGCAATTATTGAAGCTAAAAATAGCTCAGGAACATATCATCATAAGTTAATTTTGTTAGTTACATTTAAACACTAATATAAATATTTACATCACAAGTAAAATAAACTTTTTCAAATTATGAAACACACTGTAGCATCGACGCATCTGAAAAAGGTGTGCCGTGTCAGAGTCCATGTCCAAAACCAACAATGACCCTTGTGATTACATTTAATATTTCATTTTTTTTCAAATTATTACCGGTATCGACATGTCGGTGTCGTATTTCCGGTGTCAGTGTCGGTGCTTCATAATAGATGAAACACATATGGAGTTAATATTGACTCTTCAATCTTACAAGTATGATAGAGATTAGATTAAAGTAAAACCAATATTGACCACTATCCAACAAACACCGGAAAAATCTGCGCAATTTATGCAAACAAGTAAAAGAAGACCGAAGTCACGAGAATTCTTCACATAATAACACGCCCCAACGCATACACACATGCAATAAAACGCTCAAATATTCAACAAAAATGCCAATTTGCAAATACATCATCATCGAACAATACAACAAAGCTAATCAAATCATACACCTAAGCAACTGACACGTACGCACGCAATCTACACAGTAACACTACACATCACACGATCTCGATAACTCAATAAACATGATAATCATTTTCCATTTTCCAAAATCCAAAACATCAACATCTAATTTTTCAAAAAAAATAAAAAAAATCAACTAATTAATTAATAAATTAAACCAGTCCTTTAAATTTCAACACATTTCGATTCAGGTCAACAAAATTCAATCAGGAACCAGATCGAAATTCAAGCTAAATCTACCTAGCTTCAGCAAGAAAAAAAAAGTTGGAAAAAAAGCGATTAAATTATCTTCAATTCATACCTGGAAATGAAGCGGTAATCGATTATACCTTTATCGGAATCAGCACCGAAAAACAAAACCAGAAAATTCGAGGAAAAATCGAGAAACGAAGAACAACGCGAGTACTACACAACCTCGAGTTGAAAAAGAAAAACTGAAATCGAAACTTCAAACTATATATTAAAGTTGAGGAATCGAAGTGAGTAGGTGTAGCAAGTGGCAGATCCAAACAGAGAAGCGAGAATTGCCGAAAATCGAAGGTGCGGAAAATGGAAGGAAAAAGAAGAGAGAGAAAAGTGAGAGAGAAAAAGAAAGTGGTGACTGAAGAAGAAAGAAGAATTTTAGAGAGAGAAGAAAAAAAAGGAATATTAAGGGAATAGAATAGAATAGAGGAAAAAAGTTGAAGTGAGAGAGAAAGAGAGGGAAGAATGATGAAAATGCCAGGCGTGCTTATCACTAACGGCAACAAAACTTCTTCCTTCCGTCCAACCCCACACTACACCTCACGTATGAACTGTAAAACTGTTTTTTTTTTCCTATATTGTTCTTTTTTTGTAGTTTCTTTAATTATAAATATAAAAAAAAAGCTTTTAATGTTTGTTTTATAATCTTCTATTTCTTAGTTTGTACGGATATATTAGAAATAAATATATTTTTTATAATAGTTGATATTTAATTTTTATTTGTATGTAAAATTATTATGGAGACTACTAAATTATGTTTATAATTATTAATTTTTTTAATGTAAAAGACAATAAATTAAAAAATATATATTTTTAATCAATAATATGTGGGATTAAATTATACATATTTATATTTATTTTTAAAAAGAAATTTATATTAATCCAAAAAAGAACTAGCCATACAAGGCGATCTCACGAATTCAGCCAGTAAAAAAAACAACAAAATCAAGAAAAACGACATAACAAAGCATCAATCTAACTATGTGGGCTTTGAAATCCTTACAAAACCAACTCCTATAGACAATATTACTAATGATATCTTTCACAACTTTCTCTCTATCAATATTTTTACCAAAGCAAGTCCTATTACGATAAATCCAACAACCATAAAGAGTCTTTGTCACAGCAAGCTTGAGAATTTTAGCCTTCCACCCCTTGCCTTTACCATGACTAAGAATCCAATTTAATTCATCTTTCCACTTCTTAGGAGTATGACTAATCTGAATCTGATTGAGCATATCTTGCCAAATGATAAAGTAGTGGCATATGCATCAAGGCAATTGAGGATTCATGAAAGGAATTATCCTACTCACGATCTTGAATTAGCTGCATTGGTATTTGTACTAAAGATTTGGAGGCATTGCCTTTATGGTTCAAGATTTGAATTGTTTAGTGATCATAAAAGCTTAAAGTATTGGTTTGATCAAAAGGAATTAAATATAAGGCAGCGCGGGTGGTTAGAACTATTGAAAGATTACGACTTTGGCTTAAATTATCATCCTGGTAAAGCTAACATTGTAGCAGATGCTCTAAGTAGGAAGACGTTGCATATGTTGGCTATGATGGTCAGAGAATTAGAGTTGATCAATCAATTCAGATACATGAGTTTAGTATGTGAAGTGACACCGCAGAGTATGGTGTTGGGAATATTGAAGATTAACAATGATTTCTTGGAAAGTATTAAAGATGCTCAGAAATTAGATGTGAAATTGGTAGGCTTGAAGGTTAGGAGTAACCGGTCAGAGGATAGTGAATTTAAATTAGATGCCCAAGGTGTGTTGAGATTTTGCGATAGGATTTGCGTTTCCGATAATGCAGAGATGAGAAAAATGATTCTAGAGGAAAGTCATAGAAGTAGTTTGAGTATCCATTTGGGAGCTACCAAGATGTACCACGACTTGAAGAAGTTATTTTGGTGGTCCGGATTGAAACTGGATGTAGCGTGTATGCATGTTTGACTTGTCAGAAGTCAAAAATTGAACATCAGAAACCTGTGGAATTGTTGGAACCGTTAGACATTCTAGAATGGAAATGGGACAGTATATCGATGGACTTTGTGACGGGGATGCCAAATATTCCGAGAGGACATGATAGAATTTGGGAGATTGTTGATAGGCTAACAAAATCATCTCATTTATTCCGATTAATATCAGTTTTCTTGTGCCGAAGCCGGTAGAGATTTATATCCGCGTAATTGTGAAGCTACACGGTGTTCCGTCGAGTGTTGTATCTGATAGAGACCAAAGGTTTACTTCTGATTTTTGGAAGAGTCTGCAGGATGTGTTGGATTCTAAGTTGAGATTGAGTTCTACGTATCACCCATAGACAGATGGTCAGATAGAGAGAATTATTCAGTCGTTAGAGGATTTGTCGAGAACTTGTGTTCTTGAGCAGGGAGGTACATGGGACAATTATCTTCTACTGATTGAGTTCGCTTATAACAATAGTTTTCATTCTAGTATTGATATGACACCTTTCGAGGCATTGTATGGTCGGAGGTGCATAATGTCTTTGTGTTTGTATGAATCTGGTGAAAGTGTGATGCTCGAACCCGAAATTGTGCGACAAACTACGGAGAAAGTGAAGATGATCCAAGAGAAGGTGAAAGCTTTATAGAGTAGACAACATAGTTATCATGATAAGAGGAGGAAAGATCTTGAGTTTCAAGAGGGAGACCATGTATTCTTGAGAGTATCCCCGATAATCGGTGTAGGTCGTGCTCTGAAGTCAAGCAAGCTAACTCCTTAGCTTATTGGTTTGTATCAAATTTTAGAAAAAGTGTAGACTATTTCTTATAGGGTGGCCTTACCACCTAACCTTTCGAATTTGCATGATATGTTCTATGTGTCGCAACTTCGAAAGTATATGTCGGATCTGTCTCATATAATTCTAATGGATGACATACAAGTAAGGAATAACCTTACGGTAGAGACATTACCAGTGAGGATCGAAGACCGTGAAATGAAGAAGCTAAGGGGAAAATAAATCCTCTTGTCAAAGTAGTTTGGGGAGGAGCAGCCGGAGAAAGTATGACGTGAGAATTAGAAAGCAAGATGCGAGAGTCTTATCCAGAATTTTTCGCATCAGGTAATTTTCAAGTACGAAAATATTTTAAATGGGAGAGGGTTATAACACCTATTTAAATATTCAGTCATTATTTATTGAATTTAAATTATGTTGGCATAATTAAGGGTATGTGAGAGCTTAATCTTAATTAAATAATTAGGATAAGCTTAGCATATGGTGATATATTGATAATAATGGAATTAAAGGGCAATACTATTATCATTAATATTATAGTTATTATTAACATTATTATTATTATTATTAGTTATTATTAGTAATAATAAAAATACAATTAGAAGAGAGTTAGACCAATTGGAGAGAATTGTTGTCACGTAGAAATAAAGAAGAGAAGAGAATGGAAAGAACTAGGGTAAGTGAGATTCCTCCACTGTTGAAGAATCAAAGTTGCAAATTAAGGTAAGGGGGTGAATGAGTTCTCTAAATGATGATTATAGCATGAGAGGGTAGTGATGGTTCCTTCCCCTCTTTAGGTTTCATGAACAATCGGTGAATGCCTTTATTGTTTGATTTATGTTGTTTCCATGTGAATTTGTGTAAAATTCGTGAATCCCATGATGCCATGAATGTGTTGTTGTTGCTGATTTTGGTGTTGTTGTGTTGTTCATGAAATCCCAGATCTGGAAAATTATAGGTTTAGGAATATGACGAAAATTGGAGAATTAGAAGTAGAAATTGTTATAAAATAGTAGAGTAACAAAATTATATAAAGTTTACAAATCAATATGTGTAAAGACACTATTTTGGACCCAAAATAAGAGGTTGAAAGTGCTCAAAACGAGTGGAAATTATTATGGTGTGATAGCATAAAATTCGATGTAGCAAACTGGCCATACTCATATGATACGCGTATGAGGGGTGTGCCCAGGGGTCATCCGCATATGGAACGCGCCTTGTCCTTAGTGCCAGCACAGGATTCTGTCGGTACATATATGATACATGTATGAAGGGAGGCCAAACGCGTATAAGAGGGTCATACGCGTATGGGAAGTTTGGAAGGATTTTGAGAAGAAAAACGCCTCTGGTCAAACGTGTATGGTACGCATACAAGACCTTAAAGTTGAAGCAGAACGCGTGTGATACACATATGGATGGGCATAGAAATGAGCCATACGCATATGTGATAGGGTTATACACATATGAGTAGGCTGACGTGCATAAATTCTTGTTTTCACGATTTCTTTTCCATTTCTGCGTGCAGTGCAATTCCTCTTGATTCTTAATGACTAGTATAACTTAGGTAAAACATAGGGAGTGTAGTAGTAATCAAAATTGGGATTAAACCATGGTACTTTGTATGAATTACTTATTGATATTCATGATGATAATGGTGTGGTGGCCTTATTGGCAAACATAGAAGACTTATGCCTTGTTGTCACATAGTTGTGTTGTTGCATGTTGATAATGCATACATTTAATTGGTGAGAGCTCATGCCCTATTGTTGTCATGTAATGGCGTTATGTTGAGGGCTTATGCCCGATTGGTTCCCAAAATTGGAACTATGTTGGAGGCTTATGCCCTGATGGTACCACATACGTTTAGTTGATGTCGGTCTCATTGAATTGCACTATTTTTTAATGGATGATATATTATGTGAATGATGAATTGTGTTGTGAAGTATTTTGTGATGTGTGAATTGTGTGAATTACTACTCCTTAGCATGTGATATTCACCGTATATTTATTGAATGTAATTCTCACCCATTTTGTGTTGTTGTGTATGTGATCCTTAGGGAGTACATATAACCAGGTACCCGAGTAATGCTTGGAGAGAGTGTTACCTGATCGAGTCTTAGGAGTCGCTTTGATACGTAACACGGGATTATTTGGAATTTGTTATGATTTTTTTTGTATTATTTTATTTTTTTACATAACTTACTATTATACTTGTACTGGACCACATGTAGTGGAGTTTTATTATTGTTGAGGCTTTAATGCCCTGGAAGTGAATAAATTTGATTATTCTGCTGCCGAATCGATTATTCTGAATAAAAGAAGTAATAAAATGACTTGAGACTTTATGAATTTTGAAATTTTTTACATCCTACTTATGTACTCTGATATGTATTCCGCAAATTATGTTATAATTATTATATGGGAAAGTGGGTGTTACAATCAAAATTCTAGAGATCACTTTATAGACTGTTGTATAGACAGATATGGGTATGAAATCCTTGATGTGTTTTGCTTAATCATGTTTGGGAATAAGAGACGACAGGGTACAATTAAAAGCTTTGTAGAGATTCCCTTTATCAAAGAATTCATAAATAGTAGCAGTCAAGTCAAACTTTATGATGTCCCAAATGTGTTTGAAAAACCTAGCATTAAACCCATCAAGACCATGCGCTGACAGGTCATTAATCCCTTTCAAAGAAGAAAAAATCTCCTCATCACTAATAGGAAGAACTAAATTGTCCCTCTACAACCTCTGCAA